GAAATTATCCTCTGACGGGATGGCCCCTTCAGAAACGAATATCACAGTATGTACTCTACAAATCCCCATAAACAACTTGACTGGATACACCCGAATGTTTTATGACTTGAAAACTTGTAACATTCGCTAAAAGATTCCTGGTCAAACACAATAACACTCGTCAAAGAGTTTGTGAGGTATGAAAAATCCGGTAATCAATTTTTGTGTCACTCGGGTATAAACTAATGAAGTACCAATCAGTTTCTAGAAGTAAGAGAACAAATAATTGTTATACCTGAAGAAACACGAATCAATTACAAGGAAAATCCCCTGTCGGGCGAGCCAGAACTAACTAAGAACTGCAGACAGGGTCATTAGCTTAACGCAACCAAGTATATTAAGTGAAAACACTATGACCCAAAGGCAAAAAGTGAATAGTCTCTTGCAACACCTGGTGAACATAAACCAATGGGTACGTGTGCCAATAATGTAATTTGTAAATCAACGACCATTACACATACATACCTTAGTTTCAGCTCTAATCATCATGCTTGTTATAAAAGAGCTGATATGAGTAGATTTTATGAATATAGCTAAGATTATGTATTGGAAAACAAGTTAGGAAAACTTCAAGGGCCGATGGAGTGAAGCAATCCACTATTCTCACGAAATAGGTTATCATATTTATAGAAAAATATGGAGATAAAAGCAAATCATGCTGCCAGTGGCAGGATCCATAGCACGCTGTGAGCGATCATTCCGTAAACTAAAACTAATTCTCTCCTAATTTCGATTCTAAACGGGTCAGGAAATGTTGTGTGATCTAGTGTAATAAGCATAGTGAGAGTTGAAGCAAAACAGAATTCATAAAATTTGCGTCAAGAAATTGTTATTGAGCGACTATCCAAGCTTTTGTTGCTTGTTCAATGTTATTAGTAAACTGCGTGCTAGGTATTTATAATTGAAAAAATTTATGCTTAGAAGGGGCGCATTCCTAAATTTAGCATGGTCCTTCTTTTTACCTAGATACGCTACTGTGTGGTTTACACCAGTATACATCGCAAAAATGTAGTTCACGCGGAAAATATCTCACGAAGGCTGTATGGATTTATCCAATAGGATTTTCATACGCATTCCTGGAATCCCGTGTCTATTTACCACGCGGGGTCTTAGGGAAGAATTTGGATAGATAATCTGAAATTATAGCCCTGACAAGAACATTTGAATAAAATTGAAGTTACGATACGCCTAATTACACGAATTAAATTTGATCTGGCCTATATTTGAACTGTTCATTTTTACTCTGCAATATGATACAGATAAAGCTTCTCCAGTGCCAGAATATAGCCGAAACACAATTTCTTTATGCGCTTTTATTTCAAAAATAATACAAATAAATGTTTTGAACGCCTATTTATTAATAAAAGAGTATCAGGTAATAAGAACAAGCCAAGCCTCGAGTCTCCATGGACATAACAGTTGTTTATGTCAGAGTTAATAAATGTGCCATTTCCTCAAGCAAATGATAAATGAGCATCACAACAAAGGACACATGATCTGGTGAAATTAATATTTTGAAGACATGAATTAACGACTGATATGGCAATATTACAAAAAAATTAAAATTTATAAACAAAAAAGTTATTTCAAGAGACTCATAAATATGAACAGAGAGAATTCAAATATTTACAAAAAATTTTAGAATTAAAACGACCGTTTCCGATTTAATCACAGAATACCAAAATTCAAGCACAAGAAAATCAAATCACCAATTATTTTTATGCAAAAATATTATGAAACAGGCAATATTTAAAAGACCAAATTCCAATGACATAATTAAAAAACTGAATCAAATGTGATATAACACAAAGTATTTGAAACAATATAACCCATATATCTATTCTATTCGTTAAAGCTTAGGATGATTGGCAATGACCTAAAATCTGGGTTTATCTGGAAAGAATTAAATTAAAGAATACTTCTGCACTGGTGATTTGTTTTGATTAAAATGAGCACTCGATCAATATATTCTGACATTACACACTGCCAATGGTCCAGTTTTGAATATGCACAGGTCGTCCGTCCTAAACCGTTTCTTTGACATGTATTTTCAAATGTGTCAACAAAGTAGAAGATCGAGCAAAATGTTTGCCACATGATTTACAAGAATATGGTTTTTCTCCAGTATGGATTCTTATATGGTTATTCAAATAACTTCGTTTTGTAAAGCATTTACCACATAATTTGCAAGAATGTGGCCTCTCCTTTGTATGATTACGCATGTGGGAATTCAAATTACTTAGACCGCTTCATATACACGATTAGCAAATATAAGCGCTATATGTATACGTAAGACCTTAGGATAGGATTTACATATTTATCCCGGGGGGGAAGGAAAGCCGATAAGACGGCCTAATCATATGGCGAACCAAGGCCTCTCGTCCGGTTACCAGTCCATGTTGGGTATGGGATTAGTTAGTTATTTGTTTTCATTTTTTATTTTAAGCATGAACTTGATGGTGGAGGAAGCCGTAACCGACCAGCATTTGCGTGAACCACCCTACGACGGCGAGGAGTCCAGCAATCCTCTCGCACATAACTATCCCGCATGGGATTCGAGCCTACAAACCCACGCAGAGTAATCAGAGATGCGGTGGTGAGCGTATTCCTAACGCTCAGCACGATGAGCCGCGGCGCCGCTTTTCTTATTATCTATATAAACCAAGAGCGTCACAAACAAAGGTGGGAGCTGACAATTACTGAACAAAATAGAAGGCTCAATGGCGAAAATGCGCAAAAAACACGCGTTAACTATTTTAGCGAAATACATCGGCCCTGGAAAAAATACTGTGTATTATAAAACGAAGAATATAAAATAATCAATAATACCAAAAAATCTCAAGAAACGATGGATAGAAGCAACTTGGCACGGTGTGTAGTAATTTTGGTAGTCAATGCACAACCCGAAAAATTCCGGCCCGTCTATCATGAATGTATCGAAGTTCCTGCGATGTTTGCTTTAAATATTGGAAAAAATGAAAACTCCTAAAAACATAATGGTTTTGCTTCAAGTTCCACGGTAAAAACACATTTATAAGTTTCCTTCGACTGTTTTCGGCTCGGAGTGGCAGATAATATCAGTACATACGCAGATAACAGAGGTAAGAAATTGGTGATAGCGGGGATGTGCTCAGAGATTACACCTCTGTTATCTGCAGATTTATAACCCCACTACCTCCGAACTTGTACCACGGATAATAAATATTATTAAGAAGCTTTCAATTAAGTCATCGAACTCTACGAACAAAAAAGCCTGACGGAAATCCATCCATTAAACAATTGTTTAATAATGTAAGACATCTCCGAATAATTGTAAATCAAACAGAACCAGATTTGCTTTAGAAAAATGGCTCTGAGTAGTTTTGATCGGCAGCTGATTGAACATATCGAAACAAATTGTCAATTTGAATATATAAACTAGTTTCCATTAAAGATGTACCGATACCGATCCGATACCAGCTAAAAACGCCGATACCGATACTATGTAATTATTACTTAATTAGGTGTGCTGTGTAGGGCAGACGGGTTAATAGTACACATTATTTCAGATAGAAAAAAAAGATATATATATCACATAATATGAAATTAATGTTTGGTGTTTGCTTCAACTGATTAAGATACATTGTACAGTAACGCTAGTAATCTCGGTGTTCAATTAAAAAACTCATAAGCCCGATGTCCAATTTGAACTTAATATGAATACCGCGACCTTCGAATATCGTTATTCGTGTTTAAAAGAATATCGAATATCACCCACACATTCTAGCGCCGCCGTCCTACGTTCAAATTAAAAGCATTTTACAAATATTTTATTTTTTCTGGCTAATCGTAATCGTCGACGCAATAAGTCAAAGCTAAAATGAAAGAGTATCAATCAGCACCGACAAAGAGAAGGCCTACCTATAAACGTCGAGGATGTTTTTTTGCTTTACTATTTTATAATATAAAATATTTTACAATTGCTATCATATATTTTGAATTTCTGACTTTAGTTTATCGATGTCGACGGACTAAATGACACTCGTACTTGACGACAAACAGTCAGAATTTATACCCGTGACACCAGTCCATGTGCCGTTAATAAGGACCCCAATTCCACTGTATGATTTGAAACTGGGCGCCTAGTTGCTTTTTGTTATGTTCTGTGTTGGTATATTTCTTCATAATTGCTATGTAATATTAAAAATGTCAATATTAAAATTTGACAGCAAAAATAGCCAAATTAGTTGAGCTAGTTTGGCTGATGAATAGCTAAAAACACGTGAATCCTATTCTCTCGCGGGGGTGGGGACATGTATGGCTCATAGCTCACGATCTCTCCAAACAAAAAATAAATTAAAAAGTAGTATTCCAACTTACCCTTTAAAACATTCTGGACCATATCAAAAAGATAAATATATCGGAAATATCGGCTTTAATTTAACCGATACCGATACATGGCCGATACCGGAAAAATTACCGATATTGCCGATACCGATACATCGGTACATCTCTAGTTTCCATGCGCCAAATGTCCCGAATACCCTCAAATTTTGACCAAACAAAATATTACTAGATTTCTTATTTCATTCATGTTAGGCCACGATCAAACCTTTAGCGCCACCACATGCGTGACTTACGCGTATCACTTATCATGGCGTAAACTCTAATCTAAAACATTGATGATTACAAAAAGGTTCCTCGAATTCCTATCACATAAATAAAGAGAAATATTCGATGAATGACAAAGAAAACACACTGTTCCCGGTAGGCCACACTGTGTAGAAATCATAATTTAAATAGTCCCCTTTTTTATTGAACTTGCGCTAATTTGTTTACATATATTATCTTATCATCATTCTTACGAGTTTACGCCATGATAATTTTATTATATTTTTTATTTTTTCTTGTTCTATATATATATCCACCCGTGTCCTTTCCATAAAATGCCCTGATGAAGTTTTTCTGTATAGAAATTCGAAACGTCAGCAAACTACATCGTTTTGCTAAAACCGGTTGTGCTTCATTTATTATAAACATGAGTTTACCTGGTGGCAATCATGCATTATGTGTAACATCCAGTCTGTTTCGATATTTGGTAAACGTGCACAAGGACAGAGCTGCAGTTGGTAAACTAGTGTTGGCAAAAGTCGACAAATGTGTATTTGGAAATTTATGTACTTAATTTTTGTATTATCAAGCTATTAGCCATATTGCAGATTTGTTTTGAGGACCCTCTGAAAATGCTTCACGGACCCCAAAAGGTCCGCCCGACCCCAGTTTGGAAACTACTGGCGTAGATGTTCTGACATTATTGACGTAAATAAATATTATTTTATGACTAGATTTTATCTTGATCTTCCATTTTGCATATTCAAATTTAGTTCAAAATATTCTACTACGTTATTAGATTGCGATAGTTGACGAACCGATTGACAGTCCGGTATGTCAAAAGAAAAGCAATTATTTTGTGAAATATGTGGAAAAAACTTTAAAACAGCAAGTAATTTGAAGATGCATATGAGAATTCATACTGAAGAAAAACCTCACTGTTGTAGGATATGTGGAAAATGCTTTGCGCAATCAAGCAACCTAACTGTTCATGAGCGAATTCACACCTGTGAGATATGTGGAAAAGGTTTTTCACAAGCCGGTAATTTAAAACGTCATATACAAATTCATACAGGGAAAAAACCATATCCCTGTACTTTTTCGCAATCTAATGATTTGAAACGTCATATACAAATTCATACCGAAGAAAAAACATATTCCTGTGAAATATGTGCTAGATGCTTCACAAGTTCCAGTAATCTGAATAGGCATAGGAGAATTCATACAGGAGAGAAGCCATATTCTTGTGAAACTTGTGGCAAATGTTTTTCGCAATCTAGTCATTTGAACACACATATGAAAACTCATTCAGATGATAAGCCATACTCTTGTGAGATATGTGGCAAATGATTTGTATCTTCTTGGAACATGAATAAACATAGGAAAATTCACACTAAAAAACATCCTACTCTGCTGTGAAACAAGTGGAGAGTGTTCCATAAAAATCCATATACGATATAAACAGTGGCAAAAAAATTTGTAGAACTTCTGATGAGTGATATGCAGTGGTGGGTGAGATGAAAAAATATGTAAACACTTACAGTCAACCACATGCAAGATTCACGTTTGAAGAGAACCAGGCTCCTCTTTGCATGATGCAAGTTGAAATATGTGTCTGAATAATGATGTTTTTCAATTACTTTTTTTCTTTTCAGAAGATATTAAATTTTGGCAATTGTGTCTTTATGTATCTGACCGTATTAGTAGAGTATGTTTTGTAATTACTGAATCCGAAATTACTGTAACGCTTTTTCTTTCCTATATCGTGATTAAACATTTTTCATTCTGATTGACTCGCATTTATTATGTGTTCCGGCGCAACAACAGCAAGATTAGCTCTATCATATGAGGTAACTGGTTCACAAGTTGCATTATTGTATTTTGCAGTCATTGTGTTTCTGAGATACGTTTTAATACGCTTCAGCGTGCTGAATGTTCGCTCTGCGTCGGCGGAAGAAATAGGCGTCGTCAAAATGATGTCCAGAAATTTTGCAGACGCCGCAAAGGTAGTTTCTAGAGTGTTATCTATGAGGAACCCATAGAGCACGCAAGTTGATGTGATGTTCAAAAAAGTTTGATTGGTGTATATACATCGCAATTCATTTTCCAATTTACCCACGTTTATCATGGGGTAAAATTTGGAGACAGTAGCCAACAAATGGATGGGAAATTGACGTGCAAATTTTAAAAAATTTTTGGGGTTCATCAAAGAGAACGCGGCAAGGTGTTCAGTGCGCAGACGATCGCCTATTTGATTCACCAGAATGTCACAGCATTCCTTTGCAGACAAAATCAAACGCTGCGTTGTTTGCCCGCGGCGTAAAGAAGCACTCCATGTGTCGTCGTATTTTATTGTTTCCCGGATACGAGATACAGCATCGCAGAAGTCTGAAATACACGACTGCACAGACGCTCCATCCATTAGCCTTGACTGCAATGCGCCCTATAATACATCCACGTGATAGAATATTGTGGAGAAAAAAGCGAGAAAAAATGAAAACTCACCATCTTCTAGCAGACGCTTTAGACCTGCCGCCCCCCTCACAGAGCGTTCGTCCCAAACCGGAGAGCTCTGAATGCCATTGAAACACTCAATGAGCTCAGACCTAATTTCGGACACGCCCTGCACCACGCGTGATTGGAAGTTCCAACGTGTTGGTGCTCAAGCTGGGAGACGGCGGCTACATATCTGGCGAAGGAGGTCAGAGCGCTTCGGCGAAACGGAAAAAAATGAAGAAAACCCCGAAACATTTGCAAAAAATATACGGACGAGAGGGTATCAAGACACATATTTTTAATAACGAGGTTAAATTGGTGTGCATAACAATGTAAAAAATGCGCATGAGGAAAATCTTCTTTTATATAAACTTGAACACCATGTTTCGACCCACTCATGACTGCCGCGCCGTCATAAGTTTGAGCTATCAATTTTGACTTCGCGTTGTAAGGCTGTAACACTTCATTCAGTACAGCCGATATCCCGCAATCCGTGCGATCAACGATTGGTACAAAGCTGTGAAATCTCTCGGTAGGTTTACCATCTTTCACAAACCGAAAAATCACAGCCAGTTGGGAAACGCACGTGATGTCAGTTGTCTCGTCAGACTGAATCGAAAGGAACTGGCAATTCTCAATTTCCAGAGCCGAATGTTGTAAATAAATTTTATACTTTGAGTCGAGCAAATCATTTTGGATATCCTTAGATGTCCCTTTCGAAACAGTTGCGGCATCAAGATGATCTCTCAATACTGTATCTAGGGATGCGGTGTATTCCACCATATCCAAAAATACCCCTCTAGTAGAAGAGCCAGCCCGTTCATCGTGCCCACGGAGGGACAGCTCGTGACAACCAATGAACTTCAAAACGTCTATGAATCGACCGAGAACATGGCGGTTTTTCTCGACGTTTTGGTTGTGCCGACGAATAGAAACCGCGCGTCCTTCATCCAACTGTGCTGCAATATTAACATTTCCGAATGTTCGGTATTTTACTGCATTGTCCAGATGCTCCATAGAAGATTGATGATCCCTGGCACGCTCGGAAAGATGTTTAAGATCTCTAAAACCAAATTTACACCAACGTGAGTCACGGGCGGTAGCAAAAAGTAGGCAATAAAAACAAAAAAGTGCATTTTTGTCCTCGCTAACACAACCATTCGTGTTTTTTATATCAAGTTTCTGCGCCGACGCTTTCCTCCCTCATGGGATTGTTCCAGTGAACAATTTTTTGGTTGATAAGGCCCAAGACGTTGTACCTCTAATTTTTGTTCCAGCGGCAGCTGCGAAAACGGAGTGCGAAGTAGTGCATCAACCTTATTCATTATGAGGTCTAAGGCTAAGAAATGCGAAGCCGGTAAGAAGTGAGGAGCTCAAAAGGAATGTGGAAAATCGAAAGCAAATGGACTAAAGGTCTCTAACTGATTCAAATAGCGAAACAAGCGACAAAAACGAAAGCGAGGTAACTATCAACTCTTCAAGCAACCAACGAACGAGAAGGAATGCGTGAATATGTCAACACGTTGTTGTAAGAAACGTCGGCATTGTGTCGTCATAATTTTGGGCCTAGCCCCGATGATTTAGTAAAAGAAACAGAAAACAAACGAGACAAACGCGGCGAGTGGAAGATAAAAGAGAGAATACGATATACAATGAGCAACCGGGGCAAAATCGGCGTCGCCCTGTCGACGTTCGGCGAAGGCTTTGCGAGCGAAAAAATGAACCATGTCGGGAGAATATGGCTAATGTAGACAGTCTGTGCAACCGATATTGAGGTATTTTTCGAATATTTTTTATTATACCGAAAAAACAATCGGGGCATTGCCCCGGTTGGCCCTATTGACGCGCCGCCACTGCTACTCAGGAAATATGACAATCCGCGGACACAAAAATGCGTGGTGAAGTGCCCGATTATATTTTGCTTTGATTCGTATGTTTGTAAATTCAACAAATCTGAGCTGTTCGTACAAGACTTACGGCGCTCCAGTACTGTACGTACCTGTGTCGAGACAGTAAAGAAAATAATCCGAAGGGGAAAAGCGCTTACTACAGTCTACTACAGTAGCACCCGAAATTTTGCAATTTGCAATATATAAAAAAGCGCCTAAATTCGACGAATCTGAGCTGTTTGTGCAACACCTATGGCGCCCCAGTACTGTAAAAGCCTTTACTACAGTAGCGCCCAAAATTTTGCGATTTGCAATATATAAAAAAGCGTTTAAATTCGACGAATCTGAGCTGTTTGTACAACACTTACGGCGCCCCAGTACTGTACGTACCAGTGTGGAGACAGTAAAGCAAATAATCCTAAAGGAAAAAGCCCTTACTACAGTAACCCCCGAAATTTTGCAATTTGAAATGTATAAAAAAACGTTTTCAATCTGTCGTGGACCATCATAAAACAAAACTTATGGTGTTCTCTATTTTATTTTTAGTATTGTCGCTCTTCAATATAGAAAATTTAGGTTGCCACCATTGATACCTACCAGAAAAAACATTATTCCTAGTTGTTCGAGCGCGCGAGAAACACCATTTAGGTATCTATCCACGCGTGTGCCGACTCGTGTTTTCGTCGGAAATCCGCAAGTGTGTTGTGAAATTCAATCGTTTGATTAAGCGACGCGAGAGTGACCTGTCGCGTCACCTGTTATCAAATTTTCGAATAGTAAATTGCTATTGTAATAGTTGAATATGCCCAGCCGTACTCGGTATCCAGTAATCCTTGAATCGATTAATGTTATGTGAATAAACTTGCTTTTTATGTCATATGTAAATTCTAACGTAAATCGTAACTTGGCTGATGGTAAAGTTTCGCAAAAACGTTTGCGACCCGCAGTGAATTTCGGACTTGCTGCGGACTCATTCAAACACTCGCGGCACTCAAATGAGTCCGCGGACTCGGGTTGGGAAACACTGCACTAAAGTCTAGACTCTTCGTTTATGTGAATTTGCGTACCGTAATTGCTCGTTTTGTGGCCCAGGCCCATATTTTTTTCAATCAACTCACTAACTGGGCCCTTATTATTTTCGATCGTTACAATAATTAATTAATATATTATATATATATTGTTATTTCCAGAACGAAAATTTTGACTTTTTCTACGCACCGCAGGTACAAATCCGCAAAAGAAGAAAAGTTTTGCGACGCCCTATCAATATTGAAACGACGCACGCGCGACGCCCAGTTTGAGAACCACAGTGTAACGTAATCAATGCTACCTGTTATTTGATTGGACGCCTATGGCGTGTGTGTCATCAATGACATTAAACAACATGATGCGCAACTCCGGCATTTTTGGCCGAAGATCGTATTCGATAACACGCTCCAATGCACATACTTGGCGAGACGAAAACGAGCGGATGTGTGCTGCTTTCAAGGCATAGCACAAATGGTGTTCGTGCCTGCTTTGACAGTTGTTGGACACGTAGTGGACATAACGATCGTTTCAATATTATGTTGTTGTTGTTCTTGTTGTTGTTCCTGTTCTTGTTCTTTGACACGTTTTTAAAAAGTCGCTTTTCTCTTCGAATACTGGACCAATTGCTTTGAAATTTTCAGTGGTTGAAGAATAATTTTTTCGCTAGAAGGCTATTACTTTTGTTTATTCTTAAATTTTATATGAATCCTATGAGATATGATATTTCATACAAAATTTCGCGGTATTTATTTTTACTCATGGGAACACTGTTTTACACTTATTTCAAGCGGTTTCGCGATCGATTGTCTTGCTCAGTACTACAGCTACTGTAGGTCGGTACTGGTAAGTTGCCATACCGGTGCCGTAACGCAGTGAAATTGACTTATTCCTTCCGCGGTATTACTAATGCTGCAATGCAAGTTTTATAGCCTATCGTATGCGGAACGGAATATCAGACCTACAGGTTCGGTACCGGTACTGGTAGCTCAGTACGTAAGTACGATACTGGTACTGGTGCCGGTACCGGTGTCTTACCACAATGAAATTACCGTAACTTATTATTTCACGGTCCTACCAGTGCAGTAATGCAAGCGTTGTAGCACTTGTAGCCTACTATATTTGTTTATTTTGATGAGAGTCTACTGGAAACAACATAAAATTTGAAAGGGAAGAATTGTTCTGTGATCAATTATCTGTCCTAAAGTGTAAATAACATAAAATTTGCAAGGGAACAACTGTTCTGTGATCAATTACCGTATATGGCCTACAGTGTACAGGTAAGATGCTGGCTGACTGCTAACTCAGTACCGCTTGACACGTTTTTAAAAAGTCGCTTTTCTCTTCGAATACTGGACCAATTGCTTTGAAATTTTTAGTGGTTAAAGATAAAAATTTTCTCCAGAAGGCTATTACTTCTTTTTTCGCTATGACGTCATCAAAATTATGTGACTCTACGTGTCCATATATTTGAGCATAGCTCTCTTGTTGTCGATTTTAATGATATTTTGGAAAGTTGAGGTAAAAAGAAATCGGAAAAAGGTAAGGTAAATACTATTGTTGTATATCACACCCGGGCATCGCACTGTTAAGTACATGTGGGAAAGCCAGCCTTTGTCAAATACTACGAAGTTATTAATTCAGTACGGTACGTAGTTGCCCATTTGCCGAAATTGCATATTTACTTTTCCCTTATGGTTTCAAATAGTTCATGCACCTCCATTTAGATCTTTTTAATCAGTGAGGATATATACTCATTGCTGATCATTGTAACATACTATTGCGCATTCACTTTTATTTGCGTATTGAACCAAAGTGTTAACAAGTTCACCTAACATTTCACTCATACCGGTCTATATTGTATAGTCTGATCACTCAAGTATTTGGAGCCACGAATGCTTGTAATTTTCTGACTAAACCCTTTTATTAGTATGTTTATATACCAAATTCAGTAAAACATTTTTTACATAAAACATGAGATATTGGATTTATTAGCTTTTCCATTCTAAATCATATAGACTGCTTTATTTATTCTTAACAAAAATTAATAAATCTCCTCTCTTTCTTCAGATGTGAAAGTTGTGGACAAACCTGTCTAAGCATTGTGAGACTCCTGCAGGACAAGAGGCAATAGCAAAAATAGTAAGTATATTAATCAAGAAATTAAGCCGACATAAAGCAAAACTTTCAACTATTCGTCTAATCTCAATTTCCTATTATTTATTCACAGGACAACTATAGCAGAAGGGGAGATATCAGAAATCTGGCGACATATATATCAGTGACAGTGTGATTCCAAGAAATATAAATAGAGTACTCCATAAATGTTTGCAATAAAAAAACAATCTATGGGGGCATGCAAAGACATTTGACCCTCCGGTAGAGTTGTGTATGGCCCCCACATCCTGCAGGGCTTTAGGAAAATAACTAAAAATTCCAAAGCGTAAGATTGCATAAGCGGTCTTATTTGTAAAAAGGCACAAACACGCCAGACATACTTAAAACAGCTTTGGAAAATGAGGATTACGGGTAACTCACTGCACCTGTATTATATTTGGTTCATCAACTTTTGGTAGTACTATAGAAGAAATTCCGGAAGGGGTATAATCATCATTCATGATAAAATACAGTTATATATATATATTTTGAACAACTTCAATCTAGACCAGGGATGTCAAACTCGCGGCCCCATAGAACTTTCAGTGCGGCCCTCGAACGCTTAACAATAATTGTAATAGTATTTTGAAAGTTTTTTTTTTATCTAAATGTAATAGATTTTTCAAACCTTTTAAAGTGAAATTGATTATTCACACAGAAAACAATTTACTGAAAGTAGTTTTGAAATATTAATTTTTTTGTCCCCATTTTGACCCAATTAAGAATACACATCAAGCTAGCAAAAGAATACTTGAATAAAACACTTGAGTGATTAAATTAAACGCAAAGTACATGAAGAAGGTGGCATTTTCGAAGAAAATGGGAGTTGCAATATTTCTGCATTTCACAAAATTCTGAAGCACATTGTTCAATTTGTCATATTTTCATAAATACAATGAAAAAACACAATAAGCTCAGCAGTCAATATGACAAATTCGAAGACCAACTTCGAACAGAAAATTTCCATATGTTTATATATTAATATAATTATACAACGACTTAGTTACTAAAAATCAATATCAATAATAATTCAAGCAATCCTATGCCCCGCAATGTGGTGCGAAATGTCTTGTCGAAAAAATCTGTCATTTGTTTTTTTACTGATCTATACATGAAATGATAAAACTAACTTTTTTGCATTACTGAAATTTATTAAACATTCGCAAAGATCTCGATTAACCCATGATCATGTGACCTCGTTAGTTAGAGTACTATAAAATCATTTCAGACTGGCCTTAGTATGCTGGTGACACAAAAAAGATGCCAAACGTCAGGACAAATGTAATCAAAAAAACATTGAGTATATACTGTAGTATTTTTGTTAATTTTAGGTTCATATATTTAGATTAAGTCATTTTTAGTGTATATATTATTCTTTCCGTATCCAAAGCTTGTTCCAAAATGATATTGATGGTTGTACATAGAATTTTATGATTTTTTATAATAAATACAGTAACTTGCAAATGTTGCATTAATAGTGGAATGCAATTGTATTTGAAATTGAAGAATATAATAAAACTTAATCCAACTGTTTAGTTGCATCACTATATATGTCACAAACTAAAACTATCTTAAAAATATCTTTCAAGTATACATTATCAAAAACTGTTTGCGGCCCTTTTTACAATTTCCAAAATGCAATGCGGCTCTCGAAAACCCATGAGTTTGACACCACTGATCTATTCTAGACGATTCAAGCATTGCTTTGGGAAATAATATCACTCCAATTAAATTGAAAAAAAAACTCGCTATATTGAATACAAAATCGTTGCTATCATAAAGGTAAACCAATTCAGCCACTCGAAATATATTGGCCTTCACAAAGCAATGGAGGCAAAATTGAGGGTTCGTGAGCTATGAACATTTGTTCTTTTCTTTGTCTTGAACTTTTCATACTCCACAGCCCCTATTAATTTTGTTTCAATTTTAATTACCATGTGATGGTCATACATATCTTTAACTTGTATTTTCTGTCATGATGTATTATCTCAATGTGTCAAACTATTAATTAGTGTGCATATTTTGCTTCTAGATGACATAAATGTATTGTCTTGTTTGTTACCTCAGCTTGGAGTATTGACAAGAAAAAGGTGCCAGTAAAGTAGGTAACATTTTTTTACTCGTTGTTATAATCAGAATTCACAATTAATAGGAATTATAAACAGCCAACAATCAATGAGAATTATATGCGAAATCCCTCAGAATAAATTTGTCTAAAATCGGAGGAAGGCAAAACGAATCAAAAACGTCTATGATGTCCAGAATTACTCTTCACAGCTTGTTTGCCATTCCAGCTTTCCAAGTGAGCAAAACTTTTTAGATATAGAGATTATTTTTTTTCGTTACAGGCGCAAAAAGGCAGGTACTACACGTAAAAAAGACGCCGAGTAGCAAAAGCGAGCGGAAAACGGTCGCGAAAGGCGACGAGAAATATGTTCATTGGAGCGTATCATGAAATACAATCTTTCGCCTGTAGTCTTATGGAGTGACGTCAGAGTTGCCTATCATGTTGTTTAATGTCATTGGTGTCATCTACCAGCGCTTAAAATTCAACAGCGCTTCTTATTTCCTATTGTTCCCTACCAATGAAAAATCAGCTTTTACATCGAACGGGTATTCAAGCACAGGCCCTTATTTATTTTTATGTCCTGTTTACACGGGCGGCTATTGAAACGGGCCCTTAATTAAGATCGGGCGTTAAAACGAGCATTTACGGTATTTGAATTTGACATATCAGACTTTAATGATCTGTTCCGTTAAATTAGAACGATATCATTATTGAACCAACTATTGTAAATCTGTGAATGTAACCATATCAGAATAAAATATATCTGGTGTATAAATGTTATGTACGACATTAAAGATAAATATAATCATCACGCTAACATATTAATTAATGCTCTCAATACAAAATACTTTAATGAGTCCAGCTGAGCTTCAGAATTCTGCTTAAACTGACAAAACAGCTTCAAAACACACAAGCAGCGGTACAAATGAACACCTTTTTAGGTTCAGGTCTACCGTGAAGGAAGCCTACATAGGCAACGCCCAACGTCGTTGATAGTGGCGAGTTAGGTCACCGAGGAGCCGCACATTTTTTTTGTATTTGGCAAAATTTGAATTACCGTAAGTGTCCGTAGCGCCAGGTACCGACAATCACAATAGGAAATATCTAGTCTAGGTACAGCAATTTTTAGAATATTATACTGGACTTACAATTTTGCTCAACGTTGCTTAAAGGTAGGTTATCACGCGAACATTTTGTGGAAAATTTGATTCTATATAGCCCACTTCGTGTACACGGCTAGCAAAAAGCGATACGACTGTTTTTGTCTCGGATTGAACCAGGGGTAAGACATTGGCGATAGCAGGGTAGTGCATCGAGATTACAGCTTTGTTATCTGCAGATTTATGCAACTCCACTATCTCCGAACCTGTATCACGAATATTAAATTTGATTAGAAATCTTTCAAGTTTCGAACAAAATTGGCTGACGGAAAACGTATAGGCAATAAATAATTGTTTAATAATAATGTAAGACATCTCTAAATAATTGACTCCACATTTGTACATAAAACAACAAGAAGTTGGCTTCAAGTACTTTTAATGGGCAGCTGCCTACATTTTGAGATATACCTGATATAGAAATACCTGTAATGAATAAGTAATAACAAATCAATTCGTCTATTAGAAGCGTACTCAAATTTATGAACACAATTATCAAACATGGTTGATTATAGCAAGTCGAACCAAATTACTTTTAAATAACTTGCAGCCTTCAAGTCATAGACAGTACATTTGTCTATCATAAGTTGAACATGAAATCAAATCAATTAAATGAACAATAACTGTAAAAACAATCATAAGGCAATCTAATGCTCATAAAATATCCTTAAACTGTGCATATGTGGAGCAATCACAATCTACATTACTTGATCGTGCCTAGCACTCACCCATCCCAATGTCAAAGCAGAAAGTCAAGACCGCTAAACCAATTTCATATTATTTACAACGAAACACGCTCATTCTATACAAAAGTATAAGAACTATTTAAAAGCAAAGTTCCCAAACTATTCCTGACTAAGTAAGACATGTCAGGCAAGACTTTCGTCATAAAGTGTGCACACTGTCAATCAAGGGAATAAATAAATAAATTACTCCACAATGTTCACGTCACTACAAAAATCAAATGAATGCAATTCCAGATGTAACATGCAGCACGTACATTGGAGAAACAGGAAGGCATATGAAATATCGGATCTCGAAACATATTGAAAGTATTAAATCGAAAAACAGAAACCGGGTCGTCGGTGCTCACTTTAAACAACCTGGACATTCACTGAAAATGCAATTGGAATTGAAAAACTAAAGAGTCGTATTTCATTCACCTGGGAGGAAGGAACTATTAAAAATAAATATTAAGGAAATTAGGGCATTTTGGAATATTTTATGCATTGTTTAAATTAATTTTCATTTTCAAATTTAATGCTGTCAATTATTTATACAATCACGAATTTTAGGGACTCTTTAAACTCATATTGTTGTTGCCATACCATTATATAAATATGCATGCAGTTTCTATTCTTGTTAAAAGTTGTACTATGTATGTTTGAGGAAGTCTAAACGTTACAGAAATATATTGTGTTAGTGTGCAATAAAACTATAGTTTCATAATTAAATGCAAAATTCGAACATAAGAGATACAATGTGCAAATCATCAATTAGATTGACAGGAATTTCAAACAATTGATTTAAATGTTATATATAATTGTCACGATATATTTGATGAATAATGCAATTGCTATATGATTTTACATATGTCTTTTCTTTGTACCCAATCCTACGAAGGATTTATAGCAGAAGAATTATGGATTTTCACCAATTTGAGTTTGGTCATATTCTTTCCAACTATGAATTTTTAAATGTCGTTTCAAGTTACCAGGTATTGAAAAACGTCTTTCACATATTTCGCAAGCATATGGCTTCTCTCCAGTATGAGTTCGCATATGCAAATTCCTCTCATACGATGTTATAAACGTCTTTTCACAGGTCCCACAGACATATGACTTTTTACCAATATGGGATCGCTTGATATGGTTTTTCATATTACATTTCTGACTAAACCTTTTCCCACAAATTTCACAAGAATATGGTTTTTCTCCGGTATGAATTTGCAAATGTAGTTTCAAGTTTCTAGGTTGAGAAAAACGTTTTTCACATATATTGCAAGTATATGGTTTTTCTCCAGTATGAGTTTGAATATGCATTTTCCTCTCAACAAATGTTGTAAAGCACATATCACAAGTTCCACATGAATATGGTTTTTCACCAATATGAGATCTTTTCATGTGCATCTTCACAGTACTTTTTCTATTAAAACATTTTCCACATGTCTCACATGAATAGGGCTTTTCCCCGGTGTGAATTCGCAAATGTTGTCGCAAGTTACTGGACTTTGCAAAGCAACGCTCACATATGTCACAAGCATATGGTTTTACTCCGGTATGAATTCGCATATGAACTTGCTTCTCATGTGATGTTATAAAGCATTTGCCACAAGTTATGCAAATATGTGACTTTTCCCCAGTATGGGCTCGCTTTATATGTTGTTTCATAGTGCTCTTGTCTCTGAAATATTTTCCACATGTTTCACAAGAATATGGTTTTTCTCCAGTATGAATTTGCAAATGTTGCTTTGCGTTACCAGAGTAAGCAAAACGTTTTTCACATAAATGACAAGCATACGGTTTTTCTCCAGTATGAATTCGCATATGCATTTTCTTCTCTCTACATGTTGCAAAGGACTTATCACAAGTTCCACAAAGATAGGGCTTTTCACCAACATGGGATCTTTTTATATGCAACCTCACAGTACTTTTTTGACTGAAGCATTTTCCACATGTCTCACAAGAATACGGCTTTTCCCCAGTGTGAATTGTCAAGTGTTGATTCAGGTTACCAGATCGAGAAAAACGTTTTCCACATATTTTGCAACCATATGGTTTTTTCCCAGTATGTATTAGCATATGCATTTTCTTTTCATAATATCTTGGAAAGGGCATGCCACAGGTTTCACAAACATATGGCTTCTCACCAACATGGAATCGCTTTATATGTAGATCCATATTACCTTTTTGACTGAAACATTTTCCACATGTTTCACAAGTGTATGGCTTTTCACCAGTGTGAATTACCATATGTTGTTTCACGTGATCAGATCGAAAAAAAAGTTTTTCACATATTTCGCAGACATATTTCCTTTTTGTTTTTGCTCCATTTTTATAGCCCATGTCCAACTGTTTTCAATGATATTTTAATATTTAAATATGTTAAGCAAATATATCTGCTACACATGTTATGCAGATGAAATATGAAAATTGGTAATTCGTTGGTAATAAATTGATCGCATCAAACATAAGACCAATGCAATGTATATAATTTCAAAATATGTCATAAATAATAACACATTCGTAATTGTGCAACCGACTGCCCCTAGATAGGTGACCATTAGGGCTGGGCATTTCAAATCGAATAGTAAATTATTCAAATCGGTTCAAAGTGAAATTTGGAATCGTCACCATCTTGTTTTATTTTTTGTAAATTTCTTAATTTTTTCATCGCAACTCTGACATAAGACCTTTTTCTGTAGTGAGATATTACCCAAAACACGTTTTTCATTGTTTGTGAACGCTCAGCAATCTGTCTGGGTAATGTATTTTACGTTTCCAGTAATCAATACTATAAGAAAGTTACATAACATTATATATCTCCTAAGTATTCGAAAACGCCCATCCATATGTTTGAGCCTTTTTATAGGCTTGTCTCCTAACTCGCGTATAAAAATTGTCCTAGGCAAACAAATGAGTTCTATACGCAGTCAGATGGAGAATTTCGATTCTAGATTAAAATGATGTGTCACAATTTCCTATTTAACATCAACTGGTCAACAATTCACTGCATAATTGGCAAAAAAATGAGTTCTATAAGCAGTTAGATTGAGGGAATATTGAGAAAGAATGACTTTGATTCTATATATTAATGAAAGGTCACAACTTATTATTTTAACTTCAATGCAGTGGCAATCAATTGTCAGATTTATTTTTATATGCCGTATGCAAATATATAACTGACTTTTTCCTCATTGTAAACTCATATATCATTCAAATGACAATTACTACTAAAAAAACTCATATATCATTCAAATGACAATTACTACTACAATTTTTTTGCCAGTGTGTACCAGTCACACATAAAGTTTTTAATTGCTGTTCTTCGAAGCTCATTCTGCATGTTTTGCAGCAGTAAGTCCGGTATGAATTCTTATATGGACCTTCAACGCACAAGAATGTGCAAAACATTTGCCACATGTCGTACAAGAGTATGGCTTTTCCCCTGTATGAATGCGCTGATGCACATTCAAGCTGTTCCGTGCTGTAAAGCATTTACCACATATTTTGCAAGAATAAGGCTTTTCTCCACTATGAGTCTGCACATGTATTTTTAAGCCCCATGCAAACGTAAAGCTCTTTTCACATATTTTACAAGTATATGGCTTTTCTTCAGTATGAAGTCTGATATGATTCTTCAAACTATTGAGTTGCGTAAAACTTTTCTCACAAATTTCACAAGAATATGGCTTTTCCCCAGTGTGCGTTTGCGTATGCCTGTTCAAATTACTTGTAGTTGCAAAGCAATTTCCACATATTTTGCAAGAATATGGCTTTTCTCCAGTATGAGTTCGCATATGTTTCCTCAAAATACTTGCCACTGCAAAATACTTTCCACAAATTTTGCAAGAATGAGGTGTGAATACGCATATGCTCTTTCAGATTACCTGCGGTTGCAAAGCATTTTTCACATATTTTGCAAGAATATGGTTTTTCTCCTGTGTGAGTTCGCATATGCTTTTTTAGATGTCTAGAATGCATGAAACGATGGCCACATGTTTGACAAGAATATGGCTTGTCTGAAGTGTGAATTTGTGTATGCTCTCTCAAGGTACTTGTGAGTGCAAAGCATTTTCCACATATTTTGCAAGAATATGGCTTTTTTCCTGTGTGAATTCGCACATGCGTTTTCAGATATCCAGATCTCCCGAAACATTTTCCACATATTTGACAAGAATATGGTTTCTCTCCTGTGTGAATTCGTGTGTGGTCTTTCAAATTGCCTGCTACTGCAAAGCATTTTCCACAAATTTGACAAATATATGGCTTTTCCCCAGTGTGAATTCGAGTATGGTTTTTTAAACTACTTGCTACTGTAAAACACTTTCCACAAATTTTGCAAGAATAAGGTTTCTCTCCCGTATGGATTCTAACGTGCTCCTTCAATATACTAGAATGAGCAAAACGTTTGTCACATGATTCACAAGAATAGGGCTTTTCTTTAGTATGAGTCATGATGTGCTTTTTCAAATAACTGAAACACTTGAAACGTTTGCCACATGATTCACAAGAATGTGGCTTATCGTCAGTGTGAAGTTTCATATGTGCATTCAAATACTTTGAATTTGTATAGCATTTTCCGCATGTTTTACATGAATACTGCTTTTCTAGGTCATTAACTCGCATACGCTGTGTCAATTTGTTGGTTTTCGTGCAAATTTCTCCAGTATTGTACGTTTCCATATGTATGTGTTTTTACTATTCACTTTTAAAGAAAATTTTATTTCAAATCGAACCAAACTCATGGAATTTCAATGATGATACTAGTACTAGTTTCAGCTGGACAATAATGAACTAAGACACCTTAAATTATTTGAATATTTATGCAGAATAAAAAGAAATTATATATCTTCCATGTGGTTGAAAGAATCTTAATACATCAGTTCTAAAAATATTCCTGAGTATGCATGAATATATTCCCGAGCAAAGAATCATAAAGTGGGAATACAGGAATATATATAATTCAAAAATCAATTTCTATCAAAAATGTATGGAAAATTCAATCCCGGTCTAATATGCCACGAATAGAGCTCGACTCGATATTGCGTTTTTGCCGATACATCTTGCCGATATATATCAGCGCTAGACGCTTTTCCACGTCCTAAAAAATGAGTATTTTTCTCCGGGAAATATCTGCGGCCGAGCGTTTTCTTTTTTTCGCTTCTCTCATTTTGCCTTTCAATGAACAGTGAGTTCTCTTCTATATTTCTCTCTTCGTGCGGTGCAAAATCCTCGCCTTCTAATATCTTGCGTCCCCACTAGGCTTGCACGTAATCGACAAAAATCAATTCCGTAATTACGGCAAAATCGATTACGTAATGACCCCGTAATTGCGATATTTTTCACACGTTTAAACCTATCATAAAAACCATTTGAATCCACTTCTTTTCCGAATGGGACATCGAAGTTTGGTTTTCATATTACCAACAGTACTACACGCCGGCGACAGATGTTAAAGACAAATACCAAGGAGTGAATTTGAATTAAATTTATTCTGATTTTTATCTTGTTTTATTGTGTTGGCTTTGATTTTCCTTTATCACCTTCGCAAATTAACCGTCCCAATTTCATGCGATCAATTTTATCATTACCGTATTTACCGACACTGGTATACGGATATATATGAAACGATAGTTGCCTTTTTTAAAATCGACTTTCGTATTGAATAAAAATTTCGGGTTTCTAAGATATTAATCAACGACAAGCGTATTCTCTCATTTGATTATACCTGCGCCTGCCTCGCGACGAAGACTTGTTATTGCTCCGTTTTTTACATTATCCGACTTTGCTACCTAGTTAGCATTTTAAAATAATTATTGATGCTGAATTATTGACGATATTCCGATTACCAAGCTTCATTTTATATCAAATCATTTCGCGGCCTAAATGTTATAACATTATTTGTGATAAATTTAGATCAAATATTAATTATTTAGCCGGCGATAAATTCTTACCCGTAACTCGTTGTAAATTAATGCTAATAAATTCTATTTTGTTTTTTAATGCGCTGTGATTTGTATTAATAAAAGTGATTGAGTCGGGAAAAGAAAGTAGCCTAGCCTTCTCTCCTCTTGAGCGCTTATAGCGGCGGTAAAATTCGTCTCATGTCTATTTCACGGGGTGAAAGAAAAATACGCCTTCCGGAATTACAATCAACTATCACACATTCTTATTTATCATTATCAGCGCCAAATAAAAAAGATACCAAATCGTGAAGACAAAAAATTCCTCGGTGTTAATTGCGTTACGGTGATAACGCTTATAATAATATCGTTTTGACCGTGAAATCAAACGCTCAAACGGGGTGGCAACGCGTCATGCCGGCTCAGTGGGCGAAAACGATACAGAGGGGGCGAAAAAATCGAAGGGGCGATTTCGCAAAACCTGGTTTTGTTCGGCGCATCGTGCACTTGATTACTGTACTCTGCATGCTTTCGTAGGTTTGAATCATGTGGGCGATTATTATACGCGAAAGGATTGCTGGACTCGTTTCCGCCGTAAGGCATGGTAGTTTGCGTATTCCAGTGGTCAACAAAATACGGCCGGAGTAAAATAATCTGACCCGGGACGCTTCACTGAATGGACGTTTCCCAGACCTTTGACCCCGGGAAATTCTTCCTATACTTTACCTTCTAAAATTTTCGGTGCTTATTTTAAGAGTGGTTTCGCGAGTTGTCGCCTGTAAAATGGGGTATTTCAAACTATCATTCTAATTCATACCATTCAACAATTTGTTTTTTGAAATTACCGGTAAAGAATTTTAGCTTAGTCTATCCCAGGGATGGCCATTTCCGAATACTAAACTATTCCGAATACATTCTAAAATAATGTTTTCGAATCTGGAATTCCGAATACATTCTAAAATCGAAAATAACACATTTTTCTTTTAGTTTATTAAAAGTAAAACCCAGTAAATTAGGAAATAAGCTTCAATAGAAATATCAGAATAAAGCCACAAACCAACAGTATGTATGTACACAAAGTAATTGATAGTTTATAGCTATCAATAAAAAATAATAGCAACTTAAGTTTAGTTTATTAAGTAAGTTTATTAAAATTATTCACTTTGTACAAATGACCAGGGATGGCCAATTCGAATAACGTATTCGAATATCTCGTCATTCGAATATCGGAATTAGCGTTCATAAGAATATCGGATATTTGTGTGACGTCACACATTTTCGACGCCGCTCTCAAGACGTTTCCGTTGAATGAAAACATTCTCGATAGAAACTTGCGCGTGATTGTTTTTATCACTCATCAGCGTAACGTGTTATTTAGACCGTAAACGCCTTTACGTTTGTGTTATTTTCTCTAAAACGAAAATTTTCCACAAATTTGTTCCACGTAACGAAGACAATTATTTTATTTTTGTACGCGCACGGAATTGTGAATCTGGTAAATACGTTCATCGGCGGCGAGTTTCTAAAGTCAACGCAACTTTTTGATTGAAATGCGGCAATTTAAAATACTGTAAATAAATAAAACCGTAAACAATATAAGTTTTATTGAGGCCGGCGAAAATTTGAAAAACGCTTTTCTAGGCAGTGAAAATCGCAGAATTTCATGTGCCTCTGGCACACATTATGTTTGGTCGGCGTTTAGAAACGAATTGAGGGCGGAATTTGCCTGAATATCCATTACTTTAAATTGCCGTCGAATATTTTCAAAGTATATTTAATCAATTTTATTTTGATGAAATAAATTTCACTCCGAGATGTTACAGAAGATTTACGGATTTTTCTGTTTTATCTAAAAATAATCAGAGTGGCAGCATTTCGATTGAGCGGAGACACTGTTAACAAATACATCTAAATATTTGCCGAATTCGCAAAATACGGATCAAAACATTATGTAATCGGGCAGTTTAACACACATTTTTATTTTTATGACCGCCGATTGCAATAGTAAATAAGAGTGGTGAGGATTTTATTTTGTCGACGCAACCGCAGGTTAAATTGAAGACAATTAAATTAATAATGAAGCAAGACATTTTAAATATGCCCGTATCGATCACGAATTCATCACTTTGCACAACAGAAAAATATATTGTTATTTTATTTGTTGTAAAAGTCGACTCTTTTAATAGGTGGCATAATCGCGGCGATGAATACGTATTTTCAATTTACTGCTAAACTTTATATTTATATTGATTGTATGAAATGAATTATACTACACTTAACAGGATTTTATATCATTATTTGAGATTTTTCTAACGGTGATAACGAGTTGACAAGATTGCAAAAATACGTATTAAAATTAAATTCATCAGGCAGTTTATCTGGTACTTTTAGGTCACAGATCGCCGTTGACCAAATAGTAATGTTTTTTTTTTTACATAAGAAGAAGCAACCGTGAGTTACGTTGGACACATTAAATTAATATATAAAGATATTTTAGAAACTCGTAGTTGTCATGGATTGAATATTTTACGTAACACGATGATCATTATACGCTGAAAAGACGGCTCTTTTAACGAGCGCGGAATCGCGGTGGGTGTTACTAAAGTCACTTTGGGTGTTACAGGCGCCAATGGGAATTTCCGATTTCGAAAATCCTGGCTGCGCGGCTGGCAGTGGTGGTCATTTATCCTCTACTAATTTATTTTATAATTTCCAAAACAACAATATGTTACACATAATAACGATATGGTTCACATAAATTAATATACAAATATACTGGTAGGTAGTAGAATACTCTATGCTTAAATATTAGTGTTTTTAAAGGCATAATGGATTTTCGATTGTTGTTGCTTGTTTCAGTTGCCTGTATTGCCAATAAATTTTATTACTCTCAGAAAATATACACAATTATCTGAATACAAGTAGTATTTTTGTCAACAGACTTGACTATTATCATAATATCATGGTACCAATGATAGAAAGCGTCAGACAACTCCTTGGCTATCTTTTCATATGGTCATTTGTCCAAAGTGAATAATTTTAATAAACTGAATGTGTCACAAGTTGCTATTATTTTTTATTGATAGCTATAAACTATCAATTATCTTGTGTACATATATTGTTGGTTTGTGGCTTTATTCTGCTATTTTTATTGAAGCTTATTTTCTAATTTACTGGGTCTTGATAAACTAAACAAAAATGTGTTATTTTTGATTTTAGAATGTATTCGGAATTCCAGATTCGAAAACATTATTTTAGAATGTATTCGGAATAGTTTAGTATTCGGAAATGGCCATCCCTGCAAATGACCACATGAAAAGTTAGCCAAGGAGTTGTCTGACGCTTTCTATCATTGGTACCATGATATTACGATAATAGTCAAGTCTATTGACAAAAATACTACTTGTATTCAAATAATTGTGTATATTTTCTGTGAATAATCAAATTTATTGGCTATACAGGCAACTAAAACAAGCAACAACATTCGAAAATCCATTATGCCTTTAAAAATTCTAATATTTAAGCTTAGTGTATTCTACAACCTACCAGTATATTTGTATATTAATTTATGTGAACCATATTGTTGATATGTGTAACATATTGTTGTGTTTGAAATTAGAAATAAATTAATAGAGAATAGATGACCACCACTGCCAGCCGCGCAGCCAGGATTTTCGAAATCGGAAATTCTCATTGCCGCCCGTAACACCCACCGCGATCCGCCCTCGTTAAAAGAGCCGTCTTTTCAGCGTATAATGATCATCCTGTTACATAAAATATTCAATCCATGACAACTACGAGATTCTAAAATATCTTTATATATTAATTTAATGTGTCCAACGTAACTCGCGGTTGCTTCTTCTTCTGTCAAAAAAAACATTATTATTCGGTCCACAGCGATCTGTGACCTAAAAGTACGAGATAAACCGCCTGATGTATTTAATTTTAATACCTGTTTTTGCAATCTTGCCAACTCGGTATCGCCGTTAGAAAAATCTCAAATAATGATATAAAATCCTGTTAAGTGTAGTGTATAATTCATTTCATACAATGAATATACATTTAAGTTTAGCAGTAAATTAAAAATACATATTCATCGCCGCGATGAAGTGATCAGATCGAAAAAAAAGTTTTTCACATATTTCCTTTTTGTTTCTGCTCTATTTTTATATCCCATGTCAACTGATTTCAATTAATTTTAATATTAGTTAAAACAAGTTAAGCAAATATATCTGCTACACATGTTGTGTCGATGAAATATGAAAACTGGTAATTTGTTTGTAATAAATTGACCGCATCAAACATCAAGGACCAATGCAATGTATATAATATCAAATTAATAAGTGTGCAACCTGTTAATCCTTGTTAACCCGTGTTAATCCTAACCCCACCATCCAAAAATTACGTCACTACAACGTCACAATCACGTCATAGAGCTTGCCAAATACCCGTACAATCGCCCGAAATGGAATATTCTAGAATAATAGAATATTCTAGAATAGTTAAATCGAATCCAGAATACCGAATCCTATTCTATTTTCATACTTATTCAAATAGTGGGAATTTCCACATTGCTGGATTTAGATGTAAAATTGCAAATGTATTACTTACTATGAATGTATTATTTATTTGGAAATGTCCTGAACATTGTATTTCATTTGATACTAAACAGGCATTTCCCAGGACAATAAAATTGAGGAATATTACAATCTTTTTTGTCTCCAATTTTTCCAAATGTATGTAATCCCTAAATACTAATAAATACTGATATCCTAAATTAAGACATGCTTTACACACTTTAATAGTAAGCGGTTAAATACAAAAATAGACATGAAACAGCGTTAAATCATTATTAATGTAAGTCTGCCGAGTGTACTGAAACACACCCGCTGAGAATTAATTAGATGCAGAACCAGCGTGTGGCCACTGCAACCTATGCGCCGTTGTAAAATATTAAATTTAACCACTATCAATTAAAATCAACTTTTTATTCTGTGCGAGCAAGACACGTAAAACCAAGTTCCCGTAAACGCGATTTCGTACTTAGTTATTAGGTAATAACATCTAAAGACTAATTCATTTTCTATGATTATCGTTACATATCATTATCTAGCCAGACTTGGCCCTACTCAAATTCAATACGTCACTAGCTCTGCCAGATGCGGCAACTTTTTTTTAAATTTATCGGCGACTAAAATATTACAGACACTCGATCAAACGTGCGTCTATCTTGAACGATAAAAACGTTATCATTAATCATTATCTACACAGACAAATTTAAATGTGACAGATGTTCGTGTTTGGCGATATAACTTTGTATTTCGGAAAATGGTATGATAAAATTATTCGTAACTAATATTTGATCTAAATCAATCGCAAATAATGTTATAATATAACATTTAATGCCTGGCTTTTGGTTTACGTGCATAATTTTTTGGGAAAACTCCTAGGTCGCGAAGGCACGTCTGTAAACAGTTAAAGATTGTTGCATTCAGATTATCGGAATATCACCAGTAAGTCGGCACAAATAATTATTATTATTATACACTAGCTAGATAGCAAAGCGGAAAAACGCAAAAATGGTGCAAAAACGAGTCTTCGCCGTGAGGTTATATTGCCGACATCTTGTCCTGGATATGCCGATTGAAATTACAGTATCTGATGTTTACCGATTTACGAGTTCTTTGCGAGCAGATACAAGTTCAATTAAACGAGAGAGATTTCCACGCGAGAAAAACGGTCGTCTATAATTGATAAATTAGAAACCCGAAATACAAAAATTGACGCATGGCGCCGGAGAGGCGGAAACCGAATCCTGTTATCGAATCCCGTTGGATTCGGATACCTCCGGATTCGGTATTCTATATTGCCCATCCCTAGTCGTACTGACGTAATTTTTGGATGGTGTGGTCAGGTGGGGGTTAGGATTGACACGTTGAAAAATTGTTATGCTACGCCTACTAGAAGTACATTAGGTACGGAGCTAAATGGCAATCCTCATGAAATTATTAATTTGGTGTGGCAGAACAATTTATTCATTTTTTTTCATTTGTTTGTATATTTTCCTTTTTACTGAGTAATTTAATTGATTTTAAGTCTCGCTTTTTTTTTATCTTCCGACAGTATCATGTCTCGAAGATTGCGTGTATGTGTGTAAATGTGCGTGCGTGCCTTAATTAGTTTTATTTTACTTTTGGGTGAGCGAACACGTACTACTTCTTTTATCAATACCTTTCCATCTAAAATCTGTACATTTCAAACCTTACTCGAGGTTTTGTTCGCTCTCCCGATTCTATAATCAGTTACTTTTATTTTTATCTATTATTATCGTCTATTGCTGATTATGGAGTCGAAATAAACTTATACTTATACCCGTTCATTCCACGTCTCAAGATACCGGTACACCTCGAAAAGAACACAGAACTCCATCAAATATATATGAGCGCTTGCGCTTTACCTAATACCATTACTATTAGATCCCTAGCTTCTTGCCCTTTTAAAAGAGACCTAAAAAATAAATATACCGGTAATTATCTCTCCTCCTAAGCCGTTAACCGTTGAAATTTCTAGAAGGATCACCCACTCAGGGTTGCCAGACCCCAGCGATCAAAAAAAGCCAAATCAAGACATAAATAAAGCCAGAAAAAGCCAACAATTTTACTAAGTACAAAAGCCCCATGATTTGTCAGGTTTAAGCCCTTGGCAACGTACTGATGATGATGTAGAGCCATCAGTTCATTCAGTGAGGCACACAAATAGAAAGTAAAGTTCCTATAGACCAGAACTGTAGAAAGTAAAATAAATATCAAGCGGACAGCATCATTTTACCATTCAATATATGCAATACAGGATGCCGCCTCAGTCTGTCAGTATGTAATATACCTACATGTTTCTACTTAAACTTGTGATATACCTTGAAAAATTCTTCCTATATCAGTATATCGTGCTTTACTATTAAAAATTTTTTCACTTTTAAAATTTATAAACCATCAATTTTATTAAAAAATTATCTAACCCCAGGTGGACCATTGATATCTAATTCGGTAATTTTAGCGTAGTTAATCACACCGTTACTGCAATTGCAGAATTAAACTAAAGCTCACATAAACCATAATAGGCATATGAAAATTAAGTTATACAACTATTTTTTGAAAACAGAATGTATAACTGACAAATAGGCAAAACTATAAAACGAGGCAATGTTTACAACCCTGCTTGAACATCTGTCTGAGCAGCTGCTGCTCCAGGAAATCCTAATGTTAAGTAGCTAAGTACGTTGTTACACACTAAATATTGTATTTCATATGATTTTAATAATAGACACTAGAATAGATTTGAAAAAAGCCAAAAAAACGCCGAAAAGCCAAACGGAAATTCTGACGCCAAACGCGTTTGAAAAAAGCCAAATTTGGCGTTAAAAAAGCCAATATGGCAACCCTGCACCCACTTGTTAACAGCGTGGTCTACAGGCTAACGTCAAACCATTGATGACTACATAATGGATAGAAAACTCATTGTTACCGTCGCAGACGTCGCACGCTTGAGTGGTCTTCTGTAAAATCGTATTCTGGAGGCTCAAACAATGCTTTTCTTATGGCGGGGCTGCGTAGAATTAAAGCCCTAAATCTTTTAAAATTTATTATTATAACCGCGTATTTTGCTGTAAATATATCCCTCTTTGCGTATTTTTACATATTATTAGAATAGAATGTAAGCAATGTATTCCGTAAGTTTATAATTGGCCACAAATGCGAGCATAGGTATGGCATCACATATTGAAATCATGGCGTTATTTGCCATTCGCGGCACGATTCTGATCAGAAAGTGACTTCTAACTTGCGCGGGAAAGGTCGTCAGTTTAGATTTAGACGATGTTTCTTCTGCAGTGGCCGACGTAGGCCTACCAACTTCATAGAATTGTAGGTATTTGATTAGCAGCTGACGGATTATATGACTTGGTGATGGCTATTTAGTTATTGGTTAGGTTCTAGACTAGGCTATATGGAGCCCATGAACATGAATGCTAATTCCTGAAAATGACCGTACCGGTACATTCCCTACAGAACTGTAAGCACCTGGATTCACTCTTCCACTAGTCTACATTAAATTGTAATAACTAGTACTAATTTAAATTTGCACTTACTTCCTGACTGTTGCACTACTTCAATGCATTACGGTACGGAATAGAACGATAACATGAATAGGCCTATTATAACGTTAAATATTGCAAACTCTGAAAATGGGGTGGACGATAGCCAAATATGGGATGAGTGGGAAAATTTGACAGAGGAAGAAATTGAAAGTTGTTTGGAATGTATAGGCCCAATTAATAGTGCTGAAAATTTCGACAAAAGTCCACCGAAAACTTTACATCATACTTTGACGACAGAAGAAGCTAGCCAGCTGTACTCCAAGGCTGCCCATTCATTGCTGCTGAGGTGTCATGTAAAAGTGCAATCTACTCCACCAGTTGTGGCTATTGATACAATAAAATCTATAGCTATTTCACATCGCAAGCTAAAACTGGATGACTTTTACATGGAGTACTCTAAACAAGTAACCTCAGCTAGTCAATTGTTGGGACTACCTCAGGCAATTGCTGCTCAGTTACTCATCAAATTATACGATGAGGTGGCTAGTTTTAAGATGAAAACCCCACATACAAGTGATTATCAAACAACAGGGATAAATGCTCGGGAAGCAGGTAAGTCTTTCTAGTCTGATTTAATGCTGATTTCGAATTTATTTTATTTCTTTACCGAAGCAGAAAACAAATTTTAGCGATCAGTAAGTATTTTATAAAATGACAGTATAGCCAGTTGTTATCTTATGACATAATTTTTCAGAAATATTGGAATACATTGGTGGTTATGTGACACACAAAATTTTATTGAAGTTTGGCTCATCGTTAACTGCATGCTTAACTCAGTCACAACCCAGAGGCAGATTCATCGAGAGTATGCAGAAAAAAAAAGATTGTTTGAAGTATCCCTCTGAAGACGTCATGGGAATAGTTAGCAGAGTATATTTACTGCAAGGCAGAGAAGCAGCCAAAGAGTTTAGAGATATTGATTTTACCAGTGTATCACGTACTGTGGAAGATGATTTTTACGTTAAAAAATTAGTCAGTGACATATCTAGCAAATCAGAGATGAAAGGCGATCTGCTCCAGAAAGCTTTGACTTATTTATTAAATCTTTTACTTAAAGTTTTGAATCACAATTTTGCTAAACATATATTCCAGTCTAAAATGACATCTTGCCAAAAGTTTTCTCGTAGTCATAGGCAGTCTTTATGTAAAAAGTAGTACCATATTTAACAACCTCATTCAAATTCGACCTAGCTTGTCAATTTTAGGATTTTTGTACCAATTATTTAATGTTTCGTGCTGTTTAAAATTGTCCTTACACTGACGTTTAGTCTATCAAACCACAAGCTTTGTAAAAATTCAGATATTTTGTTGATAAATTCGTTCTGGAAATACTAAATTCAGAATTCGACAGCAATTAAAATCTATCCCAGGTGTGACTGAAATTTTCACTTGGAATTTTCATCTGAAAATTTTGCACATAAACATTGATTATTGTCTTTTTGATAACCATTTGAGTTTAACTTTCCTAGATTCTAATTAACCATGCCTCATTGCTGTATACCAAGTTGTTCATACCAATACAGTAAACAGAGTCCAAGGTCAATGTTTAAAATCCTTCGACCGGACTTAGCAAAAAGTGAGGAGGAGAAAAGACATAGACAGAATCTCACTAGTTTCATTCTGTCTATTCGTGATTCCAGTAGAGGTGACTTAATAAAAAGCATGCTATTGAAAGAAAGGTAACATTTTTTGTAACTAGCTCAATTCATTGCACTAAAATTTTCGATAAGAATGAAAACTTCAAATTCAATCCAGGTTATATTGCAAGTGAAGAGTTGGAGAAAAATATCCACCCACTACCAAATATTAAATACATTTCACTAGTTACCTATGTACGAATCATTCAATTTTTAGCTGCCTGATATGTGAATCTCACTTTCGAGCAGATGACTTCATAGTGCACTTGAGCCGCAAGACGTTACGATTAGGTGCTCTACCTACAGAAAATTTACCCAAGCAAGTAAAACAACAGGTGAAAAATCATGTATTGATGTAACAGAAGTTTTTGTTTATTTTCTGTTACCTAAACTTCATTTTCTCTTTATTTAGACACCCAGAAAACAACCTGCTCCTCGAAGACCATTACTAGTCCAGCCTAAACACTGCACAATTCAACATCTGTGGAAGGCATCTGAAAGACTATCTTCGATCTGGAGAAGTATTAAGTTGCAATATTTTAGTTTATACCTTTTTTCAGCTTTTTACTGAAACAGAGTTGATGAAATAAATCTTTTTTATGAGCAGGTACTTGGTCTTTCCATATCCATCAGGAAAATTTCATAGCTGAAAAATATGTATCTGAAGAAGAAATTTCTCCTTCTATTAGGTGACCATCTATCATCTTTTCTATTTATCATCATTTCTATCACTAAATTAGAAGAATATCCATGATCGATACAACATTTTCAAAGTAGGGGATAATAGTAATCTGGGCATATTGGTCTCTATTTTTCCAGAAAACGTTTGAAATGGCTGAGCATCCAACCTCTCTCTCCAATGGTTTTTAACATTTACCCAATGTAGTTTTTATTTTTCAGTGTTAAGGTTTCATCAGATATGCAGATTACTCGTCTTTCTTTCAGTGGTTGGAGAGTTAATATTGGCTCATTAAATGTTTGTGATATAACAATATCTCCTTTGACTCAATTTCTAGGTATAATATATCTTTATTATGCTTCCATTGTATTTCTTCAGACCCATGACGCCTGTGAAAATTATTTTTGGACCTTTCGTTGTTTTCAGATGACCTTGCTGCTTACCAACTATGTTCTGGCGTATGTACAGAAACCAAAAACACTAGAGTCCATACGATTCAGAATTGGAGCAACGATAATATGGAATTAGTGAAGACCAACTATTATCGTTCGCCGCATTGTCAGATAGTCTGTATGTACTAACTTAGAGTGTTCTTATGCTGTAGGATTCTAATTCATCATATTAAACATTTTAATTTATCATCAGTGAAAGATAGACTGTCTTGCTGTCCCTGTGAAAAATATGAAATCAAAACAGTGTACAACAGGAAATATGAAAAAAGAAGTGACATACCTGATGTTTCTTCTGACGATTTGATGCTTGTCGATGAGACTTTGCACAAGGATATTTCTGTATGTTTAAAATTTCCAATTTCTGTCAGCATAGTGTTTACATGCATGGTCCTACTCATATTTCACTACCACTTTATATACTCTTTCAGAATTTAATTGACCTTGAGGCACCGGTAATGAATGAATGGCAGAAGATGTTTTTTGAAGAACAAAATCGAAATGCTGAGGCAAATCCCAAAGGCCGCCGATATCATCCTGATGTGATCCGTTGGGCGATCGAAATGTTCTCTAAATCACCTGCTGCGTATGAACAATTAAGAACTTCTGGAGTTTTGACTCTGCCTTCAGCAACGACATTGAGACAATACAGGTAAAATGATAATATCAGGTAACTTTAGGCAAAATATATCATATTTATGATAACATCCTTTACATTTACCATTACATTTTATCTGTATTTTGGAATCAGTAAGTTTTATTCAAATAGAAATATTGCCTCTGGGGAGCCTGGCATTACTTCTCTTGCATTACTGACCCTCGATAAATTGACATCTTCCGTGGAAGCGTACATTACTGTGGATGAAATGAAAGGTAAGAATGCAATGTATGCAGTAATTCGAACATTCAATCAGATATCAAATTTATTTTGTTTAGTGAGAGAAAATTTGGTATTTCGCGATGGGAAATTGGTTGGATTTGTGAATTATGGAGAAAGAGGAACATCAGTCAAACTTGCAAGTCATATCTGTAGTATGTCAATTTAGTATTTTGTTTCCATTACAGCGTGAAATCGGTTTATTACTTATCGATCATAAGATCGGTAAGTATGTTGATTGGTATTTGTCTGTTTGTTTGTTTGTCTGTCTGTCTGTTAGATGCTCGCAATATCTCACGAAAGCGAGGTTCAATCTGCTCCGAATTTTGCATGTGCATTCATCATATCTCGGACCAGAAGCCTATTGATTTGGGGTTAATTATGTCGTATAATTAACGATTTATTTTTTAATTAATTTTTTTTTTTTTTTTTTTTATAATTAGCAAGTTAATAATTTATCAATTTTTTTTTTTTGCGGTCAATCGATAAGTCTTCAGTCTCCGACCGACATTCTCGTTTATTGGATGCGGCTTTCTGCCTTTGCCCTACTTTTGCCATCTTTTAAATGATGTTTTTCTTTATTTGGCAGTGTTTTACCTAAGGTCTTTCAAAAAGGAGATCTCATTGCCTCTAGGTTGGTGGCCAACAGCTACCACCCCTGCTCATATACTGGCGTCTATGTTCTGGGAAGCTCTTGGTGTATGTGAGTACCGCAACGTACACATCCATGCTGTAGTGGCAGACGGTGCTTCAACTAACCGAAGATTCTTCAAAATCATCCATGGTAGCATATTAAAGCCTGATTATACCAACTTCACAGCTCCAAATCCATACAGACCGGATCAGCCAATATTTCTTTGTTCCGATACTAGTCATCTGTTGAAGGTAAACCCAAACTTCAAACCTCTCTACCTCTTTTTTGTACCCGTGTCTGGGATGTCATGTTATTATATCAATTTATGCTATTTCACTTTACTGTGATGAGCAATTTTACAAACGTGAACTTGTTTTTTAGACTGCCCGAAATTCATTATATTCGTCGAAACCCGGGTCTTCAAAGTACATGTGCAAACAGGGTCATGATATACTTTGGACCCACATCAAAGAATTATACACATTAGACCAGGCTCAGCCACTGCATAAAACCAGACTCTGTAGGGTGCATATGGATCTCAACTCCTATTCAAAGGTATGTGAGTAGAGTAGATTTTATGCAAATATCCCCGAAAAATTTCTTGTTTTGTTACTCACATCGATTTCACATTCTCTCATAAAGTGAAAAATGAATTAGTTTACGGAGTTCCATAAGTATGCAGTAAATATGATAATTTTCACTCATGATGTCTTCAAATCTTAGATGAGGGTCTCTATTGCAAGGGATGTGTTAAGCTGGAATGTTGGGCAGTCACTAAAGGAGGATGTCAACGGTTCCCTTGGTACAGCTGAATATGTTCTTCTCTTTGACAGGTACCATTAGTTGTTTATTTACTTTTAAACTTAATGTGCCAAAATTTTGGATTTCGTCTGCCAAAATCTTCAACTTTGCTTGTTTTGTGTTAAAATCTAAAGGTGGTTTGAGATCGTGACCTGTGGCGCAAAATGCCCAATTAGATCGCCACATGATGAGCGTCTAAAATGGCTTGAAGAGGACTTCATTCCGTACTTTTTGGAATGGCAAGTGAGTAATTTTCTCTACTTATTTTTCAAAGCAGTTGTATTATATGTTCCAGTTGGATTTGTATTTTAGAACGAGGTGGAGGTGCTGTACAAGGGAGAGGAGAAAAGAATTCTAGCTAGGCCAACTCTGGAAGGATTGCTTTTCACAACCAGAAATATGGTTAAACTTGCTAAACGTCTTCTACAAAATGGTCTAGAATATGTATGCTTGAGAATTCTGACGCAAGATGTGCTTGAGGCAGTATTTGGTGATCTCGTAAGTCACTTTTGCATGAGCATGGAACACCTATTTTATTTGGTGATCTCGTAAGTCACTTTTGCATGAGCATGGAACACCTATTTTATTTTGGGATGTCGTAAGTCACTTTTGCATGAGCATGAATCACCTATTTTTGTTTGACACAATCTCATTTTTTCTCTGTGCACACTATCAATTTCTTGGCAGTTTCGCAGTGTATCCAAAAAAATTTTTGATTTTCTAAAAAAATACGTGTGAAGGTTGATGTACACATTGAGGCAAATGCGTTATGGCTGAGTAGTTAGAATGCCTTTGTTATGTAAGTAGTCTAGTTGAAAAGATTCTTTTCAAAATGTATGGCTGCGTTAACATATCCTTGTTTGGGATGAAACTGCAAAAAAACATCAAACATCTATTTTTTTTTGGATTCACTGCATGTTTTGTATGATTGCACTCGCATGCGCATGTTACACTGTTTTCTTTCATTCAGCGCTCAAGAATGGCTCACTGCAGGAATCCTGATATATCACAGGTTGGTTATGGTATTTCTGCTGTTACACAGCGTAAAATTATCAAGAGAGTCAAGGGAGGGAATACCACGTTTGGTGCACAAAATCCTTGGCAATCTGTCTGCAGCGACCCACTTCCGAAGCGGCAGAAGGTCCCAAAATAAATAGGCCTTCAAATCAGTCTCTTGCCCCAATTCAGCGATCACTGCCTATCTGATTTGGGGATTCTCCTGTAAAGAGAATCCAACACCTAGACTGGAGACCTTGACGTGGTGTGTTGGCTTTAAACCAACTCCAGTCGGCATGTTTAGCTTTGATTTCCTATTTAATCAAATGAGAAATAAAATGAACATACGATTTTTTTGGACTGAATTTATCTCGGGGGAGGGAGACGCCGATAACCGATTATGCAGCGAACCACGGCCTCTCGTCCGGTTAGCAGTCTATATGGGGTATGGGATTAGGTAACCCGCGCAGGGTAGTTAGTCAAGAGGTGCGATGGCGAGCGTTTTTTTTAACTCTTGACACGATGCGCTACCGCGAGCTTCTACATGTTTGTTATCGCTAATCTAACCATCTTACGACGATCGCGTTCGAACCCAGTCAGGATAATTGAGTTCTAAATTACCCGTAGGCTACTCGCCACTGTAGGGTGGTTCAATTAACTGCTGGTCAAGCATGGCTTTCTTAAACCCGAAGTAGGCATACATGTTCTCCAAATTTATCGGCTTTCCTCTCCGCCAGGGCTGTCTTATGTAATCAAATTTGGAATATTTCTTACAGTCTAGTTCTGCATCAAGGTTCACAAGTATTGCGATTCGCGATAAACACCTAATAAAATTTGTTCCTCGCAATGCTGCTCATTCATGTCGCGAATGAGTTTTTAGTGAGCGCTCTTATACGGAAAATATAAATAAATTCATCTATTACCGATCGACCGCTTTTTAAAATGTGGGCATTTTTCGTGATCTCACATTAGTTTGTTTATCGAGCTAAGATTGTCAAGATTACTTTAATTTTCAAATATCGGCCGTACCGTACCCGAAAACATTGCATTTTCGATAAATATGATTGCTTCGTCGGCCATCAATTCGTATGCGCTCGACGCCGAAAAGGGGCGTGGAACAGAAGTTCACTGGAGCGTTCACTGTCTGCAGCATAACAATGGTAAGACAATGCACATTTTTATCCATTGTTAAGGTATCAATGGTCAAACTTCTCGGACGAAATTAAGTGCACGGAGTCGGAATCCGCGAAAATCTGTTACATTAATTACCGTAATACCATGGTTAACTGAATATAGTTCGCCCACGGCCGGTTCGCTACGCATGAGCGATGCGTTACTACGTCATCAATTTGCAATATTTTGAAGCTTATGGAAGAGGATTTCCTTTTAAATTTACTTGCGTATTTGTGATGGTTTTATTGATGCAAATAACTAAAAAGATATAAAGTAGGGGGTCGTGGCATATGGCAGCCATCCCTGCATCAGTACCATAACTTATAATATCAAAGTGAAAGAGGGACAGAGTAGCCTAAAAGTTTATAGCAGGATTATACAGTTATAGCACAGTTCACTGTAATAATATTCCTACCACAGCCCACGGGGGCCCACAGCAGTTGGTATTTTATTTTTTTCAAATTATAGGATACCCAGATATCCCTCAGCCTAAGATACTGGTACTCCTGCACTCAGTGGCCAAGATCTGAAGACTGATATACACTGAAATATGAAAATCTCAATTATTGCTAAATTTGAGTCAAAAGTTTTGGTAAACGAGCATTGTGCGTTATAAACTTTATTCACGAGTTTTGCTCGTTGTAATAATATTTAGCATCATCTAAAACCCGATTTTGTATTTATCATTTAGGTTCTCAACAAGTTATGCCCACAATATAGGAATTCATCTCAGAATATGTCGTTTTTGTAAAAGTATTAATTGCTCATTACTCATCTTTAATTTGAACCTTAATCATACAAGCAAATATGGTGAGAGGTAACCTCGATGACCATATTGCTCACCCCTGTCCAAACCAAAACAATTTTCTATTTATGTCACATTTTTTATTGTTTTGATGACTACTGAAATAACAGAATATCTGATCAAAGTAAGCTACAGCTTCGCTACAAAACTTGGGCGTGTAACAGCCTAATAATTAATTTTGGTCCCCACACTTTTTAATAACCTGGAAGTCAAAGTGGTTCTTCTAACGCTTATTTTACCTTCAATGCAGAATATTATTTAAATTCTCTATCAACTAACTATTCAAAATGACCACCAATACTGATATTAGTGAATACTTGACACCAGACGTAATAGACGAGTTGATGCGTACTGAAATGGATGGAGAATGCGCAGTAAAGGTTGACTGCAATACAAAAGAACTCTCTATATCAGTTGAATCTGTACAGGGTTTGATGACGAGTGTACGTTCGGATGTACAGCTTTCAGATTTTGGTGTAAATATATTGAAAGATTGGATGGAGTGCTTTAATCGCAATAAAAATCCAGAGTTAATTGTTGGTCTGATACCAAAGTACTGTTGTAAAGCAAAATCTTTTTTCAACTCTCATGTTTTGACAGGCTCAGAAGCTGCAAATTTATTAAATGAAATTATCGAAAAAGTTGTAACAAAGAAAGAAGAAACGTGTGAAATAATTGCAAGTGAAGTAACTAAATCTGAAAACGATATCTTAGAATTCCTTGGAGGTGCAATGTTGAAAATTTTGAAAAAAAAAAATTAAATTCTACTGTCATCCAGAAGATGTCTGCCACCACTCCTCAAGGATCGTTGATACCCTCATGAACAAAGGGTCAGATTCACTTTTGCTCCTGTGCCCATCTCCAGAATACTTGTTATTCATTCAGCATATCTATATTAAATTTTCCAAAGAAGCTTGTAAAAATCCTAATAATATTCAGTTCAATACAGTTGCTACAGATGTTCTCACTGGACAATATTCAAGAAACTTTATATTACACATTGAACGGCAGTGTGATGAAGAATTGTCGGATGATATAGAACGAGTGGTATCATACGGCGTTAACCTGTTGGTTCGAATGTTGTCTTACACATTCGCAAAAAAGCTTTTTTCACGCATGCATGGTAAATTATCATCATTTCCTGCCGGATTGCGTGGGGATCTCAAGAAACAACTTTTGTAACTTGCTTTAAAATATTACCTGGTCTGCCGGTATCAGTTTTGCTTTTCAATTCGCTAATGGGTTGACTAAAATAAATTATGTTTGTATTTGTATAAATGTTTGTATTTGTATTCAAACTGCCAGTCGATATTGGTAACAAGCCAACACACCACGACAAGGTTTCGGCCATTATCCTTGCATAGATAGGCAGAATTGCTATGCAAGGAAAACATATGAATGAAAGACTCACTTAGATTTCTTTATCGGGAGAGGATCATTGCACACAGTTGTCCAACCATTCACCTTTCCATATGTGGTGTTGCCCGCTTTAATTTTTTTGATGATTCTTCTTTGTGTTATGTGACTAATTCCGTAGGCTGCCATGGCAATGTCAGGATTCTGTCCTCTACTTCCAAGTTGCCTCTTAAATAGAAAGCTCATTAAACCTGAGCATTTCATGTCACTTACCTCATCAAGACATAGTTACCATATTTAAAAAAATCTGTACAAATTTCCAAAAAAAGCCTCTAGCACGTCTTGTGTGAAAGTATGAAAACACACATAATCGAGCTCCGATAGTAACCGCTCACAAAGGTGGATGAAATTTTTTGATGTGAAAACTAAACCTTCAAGAGTTGGAATTGCCATGACAGGCTTTGGTTCTTTATGATGAGTCAAAGCATCGTTCTGCATAAAACAAGGAGGTTGAAAGTTCATTCATGTCACACACAGCAAAAATATTGAAAATTATGCGATTTTTTTCAGATTGGCCCTGGCCGAGGAAGTGCACGTTGGAATTTATTCAATTTGGGTTTGACAATCACTGAAATAAATGTCTGTTGTAATATAAATACTATTATGATGCAGAAATATTCTAGATTACTTTCCAGCCCACAAGTAGCTCAGCGAACTCATCCAACCATTTGATACAAACATCATCCATGCTCCTAATTGGACATCGAGCATTGCAATTTACAATCTTGAACCAACTAAAAAGAAACAACTAATCAATAACATATCAATCACCATTATTTGTAAAAATCTCATTTGCCAATTTTTTGCCTTTTAATACTTGCCTGTCCATCATCAGAATATACTCGGATGTGCCCTCAGCCCCCGGGATCTCTGACAAACATTGGCCCACTTTCCAACTGAGCACGTCGCGTGCCAATCCAACTTTCATCTATGCAGAATAATTGTTATGTAAAAAAATAACGATATCCTAACTTCAGCATACATAAAAACTAACATAGTGAGTTTCCTCAGCAACCTTTTGTACCTTAGAAAATGGATTCAGATAAATGTGGGCATCACTGAGTCGAGTCCTTGTAAGGGCCAAACTTGATTTTTCCATTTCATATAGCTTTAAGACATCTGTCCAGAGCACATCACGTTCATATAAATTCATATATCTAGATCCACTTGGTTTTGAGGAAAACAATGAGTTCCGAGCAGTCTGTTTTAAAAACATATCATTTAGAAAATATATCACAAACATTCATGTTCTGAAAAGGGTTTTATCAAAAAAAGTTAACAGTTCTAAAGCATGTCAGCCGGTCACACATGGATTCAGAAATGAATAGATGATACTGAAACTTTGGTATATCTTTAAAAGATGTGATGGATCAGAACAGAGGAACACAGGACGATCTACTGCGTGTGGATTTGGAACGACGTAAATGCCATCCATAGGGGGACCAGATAATCCACTGACGAGTTTAAAAAATCTCCGATTGGTTGCCATCCGATCTGCAACTATAGCATGTATGTGAAGCCCTCTTCTCTCACATTCGTAAAGAATTCTCCAGAAGAGAAGCGCTAACTGTGCTGGTGGTGTCACAGTAGTGTGGGGTACCATGGTAGAGGAAGTGACACCTCTCGTTTGATGGTCCTCACATAAAATACTGTCAAGAAAACTGTCATTGAAGTGGCAATTACGTAGCAAAGATATATAGGCTATTTATGCAGATACATACCAAGTATGTGACTTGCGATTTGACAGCGGCTGGATAAACTTGATTTTACAAATCCTATCAGTTGACCATCACGCACGACAACATTTTCTTTAACTGGTAAAGTCATAATCATGATGAAAAGTTTTTATATAGATAAAGGGATCAAATGATAAGCCACATACTTTTCATTTCATCCAGCGTAAGATAGCCAGGAAGTGTGCGATGTTCCTTCATGACTCTTTCTATTTCGCCGAGGGCCATCTCACATAGACCGGGCTTGGGAGTCAGGTAATTCCTAAATATAAAACATATGGTATGAAAAACACAAACTGAATAAGGAACAAAAAAATTCTTGTACAAAGAAACTGACACATGTAACTTCTCAATGACAATAAAAAACTTGACCAAAGCTTAAATTTCTTAACTGACATGACCACAATGGTACCTGTATCTTCGTATGGTACTACTAGACGTAATATTAAAACAATGCTTGTTCGTATGTGGTCATATGCGGCAGGTGACCTGCAATTAGACAAAAAAATTTGATTCTACTAAAAAAAAACAAATATTTAGCTGCTAGTTGCTAGCATTCTGATGGATTTTAAAGATCGATAAAAATGATTATTATATACTCATTATTGTCGGCAAAGAAATATTTATATCTCATAAATTTAACTCCCTTATAATATATTAGGCATTTGGAACTTCCTACCTGGAATAAAGCTCAATGGCCCAGCGAATGGTATCGGGATGATATCTTCTTTGGTGAGCCGGAAGAGATGCATTTTTTACTTGGTTACTGTAAAACATGAGTTGCCATTCATTGAGGGAGCGGTGCTTGTCCTCAAATACACCCTGAATCAGGAAAATGAGTATATACATATAAACAACTGAATAAAAGTACAATACAAATTAAAGCCACCTTAATGGGGTCTTCCTCAGTAGCATCAGTAACCTCACAAAGAACCTCATCCTGGGATGAAAATTAAGTGCATTTTACACAAACACTTGAGTTGTTGTTAACTGAAATATACATTATATAATCTCTAATTATTTATACTCAATAACTTTCTAGAAAATGAAGTAAAATTTGATATAAATGTGTACCATATGAGAAAACATCACTGTGCAAATTCATCCCCATTCTTATTAGAATTACTCTTTTACACTTGGTAACTTTATTCATCTACCTAAGTAAAGCTTTAATTCTACTCACTTAATATACTACACTCAGGTGATCTATGCAGGGTGTCAAAAACAACCTTCTCTCCATCCCATCTCAGAATTGGTGATCATTCGCTCCCAACATAGCTCTACCCATGCCTTGGCAAATCTTTATACTTTCAGTTTCCAAATAAACTGAAGAATATATTTGATTTAGAAGTGAACCATTTTATTATATGCAAGCTTAACAGAAACTTACGCAAACAGGCATGCATCGTTTCATGGAGAGGATCACCAATCATCGAACCCAAGACATCAAGGTCAACAAACCAACCAAATACGGCAAGGCACACCAACTTAGCTCGTTCGTTGAATTGGATTCTATTAAATAATTCATCAAGCCCATTATAATAATATTGCGAAAAGGAGATTTTACGATACGACAAATTAATCAAAATTAGGTTATCAATAAAAAGAATAGAAAAATTTATGACAAGAATGAGACCTTAATTTCGGAACAATAAAACCTCTCTCCTTTAATTCGGCTGTAAAACAATTCTCCTTGTCTTGATAAAATACCCATTTTTCTGCAAATAATTTAAATTCATTAGCTTATAAAGTTTAATAGATTATCTTCATAACTGAAATCCAAAAATGATAACCCTACCAAGGAGAAATCTTGCAGTATCTTTATGGATATATTATTCTCACCTTTCATGCTCCAACTAAGCTTATTAGCAGATTTTTTCAAATCTGCTATGCTGTTGTGCCTTACCTTCTCAATGCTGACCCTCTCAGCTGGTGGCTTTCTACTCGTATTTGGTTTTACGGCCTTTGGCAGCTGCAGGCTTGGTCTTGCACCCAGTTTCAATGCTACAGACTTGCCGTTTCTTATAATATCTCCCTCATGGAAATGAGCTTCACATATGGATGCTCTGAATATGAACAAGATACCAATACCAAAATATGTCAAAATTTTGTAGTACAGTTGTAGGTCAACCATCTAAAGCAGGGGTCGGGAACCTTTTTGGTCAAGAGAGCCATAAAAGGTACATATTTACAATTGGATTTTCGTGCGAGCCATATAGAATTTCTACACTTAATAAGGCCTGAAATATTTACTCAAAAGTCAAAACATACAATGTCAATATATGTTAATATGACTTCTGATGCTGCATGTTGTTGCTACAGGACTTTAATAACGGCTGCCCATATACAGCACAAGTTGAAATCTACGATACTCATGTCATCAGTCACCACCTATCTTTTGTTTAGGCATTTCCGTAGTATTTGAAAACTAACTTTGCTAGTCAGATCTAAATATGTCAAATACGACTTTATCAATTTGTGATGTCACAATATATGTTACAGAATCCCCTAGTTTTGTCACAATGCCTGTCTGATAATTCTCTTACATGCGCTTGGCTCGCGTTCTCAAAACGTTTTGGCAAATTTTCTGCCATATTTGGCTATAAAATAGTTTCAAATCTCGTAATAATAGTAAGCTTAGCCTCAGAAAGTTAGATTTTTCTGGGAGCCATATGCAGTCACCAAAAGAGCCATATATGGCTCGCGAGCCATGGGTTCCCGACCCCTGATCTAAAGCAAGGGTCTCAAACTCGCAGGACGTTAGTTTATATTGATAAACTGTAACAATGTTTTCCGTGTGGTGAGACATTACTGTCTTTAAACTAACCTTTCATCGTGGAAAACTTGATGCAGTGATGCGGCCTGGACCCTCTCCGAGTCCCGATTATGCCTCCAGTGGCCCTTGGGTAAATTGAGTTCGAGACCCCTGTTCTAAAGGAACTCAGTCTTTAATTAGTACGGTAGGGTACTTTATTTACAATGCTATATCCAGATATCTGTAGACTATATCATAGTCTATCTATCTTATTTCAGTATTGACCTTGGGTCTGCAAGATAGAACTTTCCGAATCCAAATACCTCGTAGGGACTCACGAATAAAGAAAGACAATCCGACTAAACTAGCCTCTTTCTGCTATTCAATCTTCAGAGCTGACTTGTGACCCTGAACAAAGCATTTTCAAGTTGCCTGACATAAATCTATAAATACTGAAATATACATACGATTCTTTGTGCAACATTTCCTTTATATTATCTCTCCGTGATGCATCTCGCATGGAAAGCATAAATCTTGTTAACGCAATCCGATGCTCCCTTTCTTCCTCATTCCTTGCTAAATCGGGCCTTCTGATACAAAGCAGACTTCTTTTCTCAACTTTTCGTCTACTCCATGAGCACCCAGGCAGAGAACAGTGTGTGGAAGGCATTTTTCTATTTTTAAATAGAATGGTACCGGTAGCAATTGATCTCTGTCAAAGGCACAGCCATTAAAACAATATATAACCGTATATAGAGTCAGTCCGTTAACCTAAATATTTTTTTTGCCAAATTTAAATCCATTTCCAATTCGGATTTATGATATTGATAGTTTTGGTTTATCCAAATATATTATTTAAATTTAGTTGCATGAATCCCCCTTTTTCCAAGTAATTTAGGTGATATTATAGATCATATAAGTATACAATTTGTACATAGATAAATATTGATAAATTTTAAACAAACCAGATACATTTACCCATATTAGTTCAGAAATCCAATATAAATTGTGTCCATATTCATGTAATGATAATCCAAGTATCCATGAGATCCAGTGACCATTGAAAACATTATACCATTCAACATATATTTTAAATTTATCCATTATTAGCATTTAATATCAAAAACAAAATTTTTAAAGAATTAGACAAAAATCAGAAAAACACCTAACATGCCATTAGGTGTTCTCTACATTTTCAGTCTATGTAACCCAATGTTGTACAAAAAACTAGACATTTTACATAAAATTAGACAAATACAGAAATATGGTACGGTATACAATGAATCCTGGTACCAGAATGTCATGGGTTGGCCAGTGATCGCAGAGTGTTGTTGACTGTGTTGGGAAAATGTATATAAATATTATAACCTAACCTAAATCCTTAACCTAATCGTTAACCTAAATCCTAACCTAAAATCGTTAACCTAAATCCTTATTCAACATTGGCTACAGCAAATTAGCTGAGGAAATACACGGGCCGCAATATCGCGTTGAAGGAATTCCATGACGCAACGCTCAAGCGGAACGAGAGAACAGTGTAACATAAATAAACAAAGACGAAAAAAGCGCGAGCTAACTATATTCAGTTAACCATGGTAATACAGTACAGTAATACAAGATCGTTCAAAGTGGAGCGCATCAATTTACGTTTGCTGTTTTATTTCAAATGACTTGACCGTTTTATATTTTTCATTTCATTGCGGACATTATATATATATAATAGATTATGTTTGTTTGTAACCTTCATAAGACTTGATCAATATTTGTATTTGACTCGCCAAATTGCATCTGCTGTGAATATTTTTGTTTTAGTGTCTCCTTGCCTGACTATTAGTTGTATATTTCGCTAAATTTGCCTTTTCTATAATTTTTTAGTATTTTTATTCTGCTTTCCTCGCATTCCTATTAGTTAAATTTATTCCGCGAAAGTACATATGACTAGTTTTACCCTGTGTCATAATCTCAAATACTTCTAATGTCGCAGCTACTGTATTTGCATCAGTTGTGACTCATTCTTTTATCCCTCCGGTCTCACAAATAACACTTTTAGTACTGTATAGGATTCACATATTTATCCCGGGGGGGAGGAAAGCCATGGCGAACCACCGGTTACCAGTCCATGTCGGGTATGGGATTAGTTTTAGTTATTTGTTTTTCGGAAGCATGGACTTGATGGTGGAGGAAGCCGTAACCGACCAGCGGTTTCCTCTCCCCCGGGATAAATATGTAAATTCTATCCTATCCTAACATTACGGCATGTGCGATGGCATTTCAGAATTTCTCGCCTTCGCTGGGTGATTTATGTAATTACAGATCTGTAACGAGGTGCATCTGAAACAAATAAATTATTTAATATTCTCATACATGAACTAGTAACTGGACCGGGAGTCATTTGGTTAAGCGGCGGTGTGGCTCATCTTGCTAAGCATGAAAGATTAGTGATTGATGTGTTTTTTTTTCATATTTATTACAGTTCTTATCAAACAAGTAATACAATACTTTCGAAAAAATTTGGCCTGTCGGGCGGTACTATAATTCTGATATCTCCGTTATTTCTTGACCGTTTTTTATAAACTTGGTATTGTTTTCTGTTTTCACTCAGATCTCTTCACTGGCGCAGTTTTTATTTAAATCGGATAAACTTCAATTTTTTTGTAACATACCTACATGAATATCCGCTTTTAAGCAGTACAACAGTTGGTGTGACCGGAAATGTTGTGTGATCTAGCCTAATTAAGCATAGAGAGAGGTGTAACGAAGAAAATAAATTTTATTGGAATTATTGTTGTTTTTGCTTTTGTTTTTGTTCAATTTTGTTAGTAAATTGCACGTTGGGTATCTATATTGAAAATATTTACTATAAACGTGAAGAAAACGAGCGTAGTAGGAGCGCATTTTAAAATTTTGCCCTATGACTTTGGTGCATTTACCAGTGTTGCGATGCTCGAGTCATCCGAATTAAATAACTTCACCAGTGAGACTAAACTCGTGACTCTGGGTTCAGAAACTTCTACTAAACACTGATATTCACGCTATAGGTTTTCCCTATGTTGTGATGTTGAAGAATTTTTGTGCTCGATTTTTGAATAATTTCTATATACAACAGGGGTGGGCACGGTTTTTGGCCCTGGGGTCAAAAATTTTGCTCAGTTAGACTGGCGGGCCATGTGAGTGTGACGTAAGAAAAAATTGCAATGTTACAAAAGCCTAAGGGAAAAACAATGAGCCTCGTGACAAAACTCAATTTACTCGTAATCTCAACAAATTCCTTCTGTTATTTCATAGGTTAACATCTAAATTTGGTTCTAGTTTGGTTGTGGAAGCATTATGCAAGCCAAATTGAACTACCCAACGGACCAGATTTGGCTCGGGGACCGTAGTTTGCCCATGTCTGATATACAAGCAAAGTCACTCTTTCTTCACTCAAAACAAGATAGCCAATATCTCAAGAAGGTTGTAAAGATT